TGTTGACTCTTCATTTGTGTATGACGTGAAAAAAATGTGGGTCATATAAGCAAAACGTTTCTAATTAGTAAGTCATATTAGATATACGTGATTATTTAATAGTATAATTACTTAAAAAAATATTTATTCAAGTATTAGTGATTAAATTAAAAATTTTAATATTTTAGTGATCATTTTAAAATGATTGTAATATTTAAATAACCAATTATATAATTTACCCTTAATATAAATATGACATTTTCTCCTTAAAAAATATTATTTTTGAAATGAAAAAAAAAATCACAAAAACTACGGTTATAATCTTGAAAACGTAGTCTTTGACTTAAAAATATACAAACATGGTATTTAATAAAAAACTACATTTATAAATTTACAAACATAATTTTTAATATAAAGATAACATTTTTTCTTTGAAAAATGTCATCTTTAAAATAAAAAAATTCTTAAAAACTATGTTTATAATCCAAAAAATATAGTCTTTAAAACTTTACAAACGCAAAATTTAATGAAAGATTATGTTTAAAAATATACAAGCGTAATTTTTTTATATAAAAATGACATTTTCTCCGTGAAAAACCTTTAAACTTCACAATACTATTCAAAAATTTAAAATTAATTTTAAAGGTAAAAAAAAAAAAAAAAAAACCCCACGAAACCAAAACCTTAAAAAAGTGTTTTTTGTTATATATAAAAACTACGTTTTTTTACATTTTTTAATGTCAAAAAAAGGTAATTTATGTATTTTTAAAAATTACTTTTTTGACATAAAAAATGTGATCTTTATTATTTTCTCAAAAATCCTAACCACCACATAAAAAAAAATACAGGTTTTTAATAAAACAGAACTCTGTTTTCACCTTTTATTTTTGTGACAAAATTTGTAAGTTGGCTCCTTTTTTTAATTGTGTGTGTGTGTGTGTTTTTTTTTCTAAATCTGGTTTTTTTTTTTAACCGTGTCTTTAAATCTTAAGCTTGAATTTCTTCCTAATTCATCCTCACGTTTAATTTCTTGTTTAAATGGAATATATTTACGAATGTTTTAAGCTCAAATTTTGGTGTCAAAAGTTGTCAAATTGTGTTAATTTGGTTAGAATTTTGTTTTTGAAATTTTTTACTTTGAGGTTATTATCATTATTGTCGTTGTTTGACTGTTAAGAATGAATTTGAAAAGGAAATAGAGCTGAAATTTGAAGCCCTGTAGTTAATTTATTCGTGTTTTCCTCTGAAAATCTGGGCTCAAATTGGTAAACCGATAAAATTTGGATTTTTATGAAGTTGTTGACTATAAGTAAGCAAACAATTTTGTTTTAAATTCAGTTATTTTCATTTTCCTTTGGGCAAAAAAATTTCAGTTATTATTAAAGCTTAGAAACTTTTTATATCTTGGGCAATATGTGTAGCTACTATTGATTTACTTTTGCTTCTTTTTATTTTTATTTTTTATTTTCAGTGTAATCTTGCTGGTGGGAAGCAATTCAGAAATTGTTATGGAAAGCTGTAGAGATATAAACGCTAGTTTCGTTTCACATTGTGATGCATCTAATCATGGGTGGGTGGACTATTTCTAAGATGGTGAGTGACTCAGTCATCAGGGAAATGGTCAATGTTGAGCAAGAGGCAGCTGATAGGATTCTTCAAAAAGAGTCGGAAATAGTGAGGTTGAAGAAAATGGTGAATCCTTACCATGTTGGTTCAAATAAAAACGAACCCTTAAGATCATTAGTGAAGCACCATGAACCGAAAATTGGTGTAGTTCCGAGAATTCTGAGAGACTTTTAGAAACTTATTTTGGATAAGCATATGAATTTTTCATATTCTTTTAAGTTTATTTGAAATGGAGTTTTGATAAATCTGAATTATACGAAATTAAACTATAAATTTTAATTTATTTTCACAAGCATTTTAATTAAATCAATAGAAAAAAAATACTTCAAATCTTATCTATAATCAGTGAAAGATTAAAAAAATGATTTTGAAATTAATTTGATGAATTTAGGGTTAATTTTAAATTGAAAGTGGAGAAAGAAAAAAAAGAGAATGAAAGATGGTTTAATGGTATAAAGAGAAAATAGATTGCCCAATAATAGAATGTATTTAGTAAAAATAAAAATTTTAATTTTAAATTTGACTTGTATTTAATAATTAGGTGTATAGAGTAATAAGTGGGTGATATTTAAAACACCCATAATCTTTTCCCTTCATTTCTTTTTAGTATTTTTCCAACTTTCTTGTTTGGGGTTTTTTTTTTCTCTCTGGATTTTCTTTTCTTTCCCCCTTGCTTCTAAAAATGTCTTGTGAGTACTAGATTTCAATCCAATTCAACAAAATATTTTAATAAAATTAAAAAAACGGAAAAGCAGTTGAAAATTACAAACATGTCGCGATTCAGAGATCGAACTGAAGATTTTAAGGATGCCGTACGTCAAACCGCAATTTCATCAGGTTGCAGCGAGGTAAATTTTTCATTTTCCTTTTTTCTTCTTCTAATTTTTAATACTTTCAATCTTCTAAATGTTTCATTTATCTTATAACTTTTCTTTAATTCTAAAATTTCTTAGATTCTGTTTTTTTTTTTTTTACAGTCCAAATTGGCAGCGATTATGGCGTCTTTCATAATCCATAAAGCAAGGCAGACCACACCGTTTACTAAATCTGCACTCAAAACTATCATTGTAAAAATTTTCCAAATTTTTGTTTTTGTTTTTAAAGGATAAATTTTGAGGGTTTTTTTATCTTTTTTTTTTTTTTTTTGTAATTAGTTAGAGAGTATTGTGGCATTGGATCAGTACATGTTGAAGCACGGGGAAGATTATGTGGATCTTATCTGGACAATGGAGCAAGAGAGGGACAGCATCGAACATGAAGTAATGTCACATGTTTTAATTTCAGACATTGTAGTGTTCTTTACTGAGAAAAATTGTCAAGTTTTCTTTGGTTTGACTAATAAAATTGCGGAATTTGGCTCTATTTTTATGTGTTTTTCTGATCCATTGAATTGCCTAACTATAAATTAATGCGCATCTAATCTATTTTGATTGCTATGCCAGGCTTGACATTGCAGTTGGATTGTAACTTGCAGTTTAAACCTGAACATAACTTTAACGTTAAGCAGATTCGAAGTTTTTGCCTTTGACAGATCTAACTTAACAACGGTAATGCATTTGATGCGGTAAAAGTTGTTTCTTTGGAGCTCAAAGGGCTGGCTTGGAATCAGGGTCGCCTCAAATGCTGATACCTTAGCAAACAAAAATGGAGTGGTAAGGTTAAGTTCTTGTTTATGTTTATTGAAATAAGTCAGTTGTATGAAATTGTTTATTTGCTGGAATTGTCTATCCTGTTTTAATTTATTCATACTTTTAATCTTGATGGCTTCCAGTGGTAAATAGTTCTTATTTTCGTCCTTTCTATTGGTTCCTCTATTCTGTCATCCTCAGTTCAGCAACAAGAGTAAATTTTCTTTCTGTCAGTTTGCTGGAGCTAAATGATCCTATCAAGATTCAGGAGTCTTTATCTTTTTCTTTCATCTTTCTACATGATATCTTCAACTGCCCTTGTAGTGATACTTTATGTCTTTGGCATTTCTTCACTTAATAACCTTTTATTCCTGCATGGAAGTGTTTTCTCCCTCTCTCTAAGAAGAAAGTTAGTGTTGTTGTTAGCTTGATGAAAGAATATTTGTGCTCCTTCCTTAACATTCAGGTACTAGTTTTAAGTGAGAAACTTCATTCAGTCACTGCACAGTTTGATCAGCTAAGAGCCATTCGCTTCCAAGATGCTATCAATACATCAATACCAAGAAGAAAACTTAAGCGGGTTGTTGATTCAAATTCTCTAGATACCTCTAGACCAGTCAATTTGGAGCTTAGTGAGACCAATGAGTTTCAACCTGAAACTCTTAAGAGTCCAACAGGAATTTCTGGACGATGAAACCTGTGCCCTTCAGGTAATCAGAATTCTCATGATAGGTTCCATATGGCCCTTTCTATCATGCCTTAAATGATCTAATTCCTTTTTGGGAAATCCTAATGAACTGAAGATGCTTACTGCTCTGCCTATTATTATAAGTTGAGTTGACTGGTCTTCTAGATGCTGTTCAAGAAACTGAAACTAAGATGGTGGAGATGTCTGCACTGAATCACCTCATGTCCTTACACGTTCTGCAACAAGCTCAACAGATAGAACATCTCTATGATCAGGTGCAAAAATACCCCCCTCCACATTCGCTTTCTTTTTGCTCTGCCTATATATTTAATGTTTCTGCTCCACCATTAGCCTCCTATTTTCCATTTTTTTTTATTAATCCATTCAAACTTATTCAATTGATACCATCAAGCTTATTTATCAAACTGATTAGAATAAGTTGATCTTGTAAATTGAATTTCCTATTTGGGATGGTAATTCTAGTTTATAATGTTATTTTCATTGCAAATTAAAGGAAGTGGATACACTTTTTCCCAAGATGATCAAACTTTCTTTTGTTTGTTGGCCTATAGCTTTTGTTTTCTTAAATATATAGGTTTAACTTGCACACATCTCTATTTACTCCAAATAAGCTGAGAGGCGCATCTAGGGCTGGATGGTTCATTGCAGTAATTGAATTAGGCATTAAGGCATGAGATTGTGTTTCACTTTTTTCAGCTCTAAGGATTGGATTTCCAACTTTTTCCTCCTCTTATGCTATCTCTAAATTATCGCTGTCATTTTTATGTCTTATTTGCACAGGTGGTTGAAGCCACAAAAAATGTAGAGCTCGGTAATAAAGAGCTTTCTCAAGCTATCCAACGGAATAGCAGCAGCAGGACCTTTCTATTGCTTTTTCTATTTGTACTTACCCTTTCAATCTTGTTTCTTGACTGGTATAATTAAAAATATAGTAGTTCTTACCATTTTAGTGCACTTATATGTTTTTTTCTTTCCCAAAAGAAAAGGAAAGTTCCCCTTCTTTCCGTTGTAGATTTGATGAGGGAAAAGAACTCCAAAGTATCTAACATTGATTAAAGCAAAGTGATGTAAGTTTCTCTGACTGTGATTGTGTTTCCTTTACAAAGAAAATGGTTGAATTTTTTGTGTTCAGCTGAAGCATACATCAATTTTTTTGTAGGCAAAGATCGGTGAACTAGAAGTTGTATGAATTTATGATGAAATGTTAAATGCACAATCCTATCTGTGGGAATAAAGTGAGTACATTTTTCATTTGTACAATAGTTAGGACAAACCTGTCTCTAGCCCTTGCTTTGCAACAAACAAGTAATAGTATTCCCCACTTTAGTATTGTATGGCTATTTTTTCTGATCTAACCTCTAAATGCTTAGGCCTTCCATTGCTTCAATTAGCTCAAGCATGAGAAGTTAAAAATTCTCGACCCAGCTTGAGGTTTGACAGACAAAATTTCTCTATGTAGAATTTGAATCTGTTAATGACTTAGGCTATGGTTTCTTGTCATTTCTCCAACTTAAGATTAATCCTATCTTCTAATTCTAAACTCTATCCGTATTAGGGCTTTACTTTTGGCAAATGCAACCTGGGTATGGATTTGCATAGAAACTTTCCTCTGTTTTTGCAGAGTTTCCAGGCCTTCTGGGAACTGCTCCTCCTGTTCTGTTAGCATGCAGAAGCTTAACCTTGGCAGAAAAATCGTCCCAGGATATTAGACCTCTGTCCATCCGATCGATCAATTTCACAAAGTTTATTCTGCAATTGTGTTAAATATATATATATGTATAAGTTTTCAGTAATGATTTGATAACAGATGAATCTTTGGTGTGACTAAAAGTTATACATACTTGTCAGGTCTGATAGTTTTTCGGAAACCTTCATACTTCCTATGACCCTGCACTGCCTTTGCCATGTTTCCATCATAGGTAAAAACGAAAACATCACTCTCAAGGGCTACAATATAGTCCACTGCAGCAAGCTTATTCTGGCGATTACTGAAAGGCACCAATTCCTCTTCTGTTGCTAAATTTGAATGGGTGAGTATATTTGGATACTTCTCTTCGAGTGGTTTAACACTATCCTGACCATAAATCTTCCCTGCAACTATGTAGATTTTGGTATCAAAAGGAAGCCCCATTGCCTCGAGGAACACAGCTACCTCTCTTGGTGTCATCGGACATACCCCTCTGCGTCGCCTTTCTTCACCATCAATCTTTTTTTCCTTCCAGTGTCGGACGCTATGTCTTAACTGCTTTAGCTCCTCATCTTCACCTTTGGTAAGATTGTGACTGCAGCCCGTAAAAGCAAGCATGTCCTTTTCATATCTGCACATACTTTCCAGTTAGCAAATTCAGGAAACCATTACAAACAATGAACAAACTCGAAGCAGAAAATTAGTTTCAAGTACCTTAAATGAAGAGCAACATAAGGCATGTTATCATCCCTAAGCCTATTAACCAACTTGTTGGCAAGATTTTCAATCTCTCCTGTGAACTTAAGTGCCTCATACATTGCACGGCAGCGGAGTCTTTGAATAGAACTGGAAAGACCGTTGTTAGCTAGCCGGTTATCGGTGTGGGTGAAGTTAATCACCTTGTGCTTCTTTAACAAAGAAGACATCTGATCTCTGTAATAACTAGGCTGCATAAAAGTAGCTTATCCAATATCAGAACACAGATCAAGTTTACATTGTTGATTTGTAGGTTTTTGAACTGTAAACCATACTTTTGAGTAAGAAACCGGGGCTCGTTGATGAGGTTTAATTGATGCAAATGCAAGTGGGAGATGATCAACAACCCAGATGTCCTCTTTCAGGTATTGAACAAAATGTTTCCAGTCAAATATATCTTTAAAATCACTGCACAAATTACTTGAATGAGATATTTTTTCTTCTATACTAGTAAACTTTTGTAAAATTAAAATTTGTTATTAACCTTGGATCAGTCCAAAAGGATTGGTGATCTAAAGATGGGAGAACCAAAGTGGCATTCATCATTTTTGCTATGGCAACCATATCACTTATCTGCAGGTAAATTGATATTAATCAATAAATAAAAAAGATATCCAAAACGGAACCTAAAAACAAAAAAAATGGAGCTTACCCCAGTTTTCATCTGATTCAATCCGCCATTAGAATGGACAAGAATATAACCATTTGAAGGTGATTCTAAAAAGAAGTAAATTGTTAGCATTACAAAAACAGGCAAAGAAGATAATACTAATAATTCAATTACAAAGACCAAAAAAAAAAAAAAAGTTGGAAAGAGTAATTAATTTAACTTACTTATTTCTTTACTTGATCTATCAATACATTTATAGTGGAATTGACCGGTGGGCTTGATCCAAATATCAGGAACCTGATAATGCAAAAAATCAAATTAAAATTGGCATTACTATCTGAGGTAATTGAAGATGAGATCCCAAAAGATTCACAGAAACTGTGAAAAAGAATTGGGCGAATTTCCTGAATTGAGTAAACATGACAAAAGAAATATTAATTTTTTTTTTTTTTTTAATTTGAGGATGGAAAGCATCAATTATTGAATCAAATATTGGGATTGACTCAAAGATTGCGTTACCAAGCTCTTTTGGTTACCAATTTAGCATTACTTTGAACTTTGGAAGGAAATTAAAACCCTGCCCGCCTTGTGAAAAATACCTATTTTACCAGACCATAAGCAAATTATTGAAGAATGAGGCCATATTAAATATTAATTATGCTTCCTTAATTATAAATTGATCAAAAAATAAAACAAAAATATAATTCTTTTATAAAAAAAAAACCCAAAGTCATGTTTTCATATTTGTTATTTTTAATTTTAGATTGCTATTCTTTATTAAAAAAAAATTAAATGTGATGACAGTGAAAAAGTGGAGGCAACAGGCAAACCAACGGGAAAATTATAAGACTTGTATTTGATTTTTAGGACTTCAACAATGGGTCAAGAATATCATGCGTATTTTAGTTCATTTAATTCGTAAAAGGTTCCGTACTTCTTTTAGATAAATAAAATTTCAATTATTCAAATTGAAAAGCTTGATTTGTTTAAAAAATGTTTTAATTTCAAGATCTCCTTTGTTTTCCCCTACCCAAATTGACTTTTAAATATTAGCTTCTCATTCAGCTTTATTTTAGTCATATTTGCTAACGTTAAATATATATCTATATATAAAATTCAATAACAAAAATGAATTTGAAACCAAAATTTTGAAGAAACCTAATTAATTAAGAAAATCGATATCAGACACAAAGTTTCCAAGCGTATCCCCAAGGTTACGAGCACCAAACAAATGAAAAAAAAAAAAATAAATTCAATAAACAATATACAAAGATATTAATTGTAATCTCCACCCAGTTAATCCAATTGGTAAAAAGAAATTTTTTTTTTTTATCAATTAGCATTTGATTTATTGTGAAGAATACTTGAAAATAAAATTCTGAAAGCACCTCTTATTAAAAAAAATCCATATGTTATATCTATAGAACTTACATTTTGGGATATTATAATATATATCATTTGAAAATTTCAATGGAGCTTAAGTAAACTCAATTATATATAATTAATTCCCTTTTATTAATTAATTAAACAAATAAAAAGAACAACAGAGAGAATTAACTATCTAACCGAAAACTTCTCTGGCAACGAAATCTCCTTGAAGTCACCATTATCATCATCTCTTCCTTTGACAACTTTGTTTGCCCTATTCCAATTCTCCACCACAATACTTGTGACGAATTTCTCCCTATCATTATTCAAGTCTTGGAGAGTGTTCATCAAAGCAAACTTGGCAAGCAAAGTCACGAAGGCTAGCACCATCATACCCCAAAACATCCACCTACTGAAGTACCTCCCCGGCCTCAAAAGCTCCGGCCAATACCGTCCTTTTCGACGTAAAAATGTCGGACTTTTCACCGGCAAGGTGTTGCCATCTTGCTCCTCTGTCGTCTCAAAAACTCTCCTCCTTGTCATGAATCCTAACAGCCTCGAAGAAACCCTCGAGGAGTTATCTGTTATACTTGTCATGGAAATGGTTAACATTGATATAACCAAGCCCAAAAACAACCATCAAAATTACACTTTGAAACTCTTCAAAACCAAATGGTTTTGTGGTGGTGAAAGGTGCTTTGCTTTGGTTTCCTGTCGAATGATTTTGCAATATTGCTAATAAATGGTTTTAGAAGAAAAGCGAAAAATGAGGCGAAGCCAACTCTTTGCTTGTGATGATTTTTAGCTGTTTTTGGGCAATGGTTTTTTGCTTATAATCAAAACTTTAGCCAAAAGGTCTTTGTTTTTTTTTTTTTTTTTTTCAATGAATAATCTAAAAGTTAAAACACATCAAATTAATAGAAAGAATTCGGTGATGAAATTTCACCATTTTAAGTGTTGGAATTTACGTGTTATTCATAGATTTAATTAAATTTACGGATAACATCAAAAGCATTAATGTTTGATTAACAAATTTATGTTCACGATAAATGTTTCGTATATATGCTCAAAATTAATTGTTTGTTATTAGGTTAACTTCTTTCTGTCATCCAGCAACTTCAAATTGATTCCTTTTGATAGTATTACACTTTCATTAGACAAAAAAAAAAAAAAAAATTTACAAGATCGAGACTTATAAAAGTTAGTAACTTTAATTTTTTATTGTTGGACTTTATGTACTTTCTATAATCAGAAAGGAATGAGAGCATGTGAACTTAGATTGAAAACTAGCAATAATCCCTATCTGGCATATGGAAAATAAATTGATTGATTTGAGATTTTTTTTTTTCTTTTTAAAAGCACCATATGTATGATTTAACTCTATGTATTAAACAAAGTTAACGATCTTTATAATTTTTTTTTTTTAATTTGGAAAGAGAGGTCTCCAATCTACTCTTTGAGTATGGATTATGCACTAACTACTAAATAAAAAATTCAGATGCAACTATTTCTTATAATTTGTTGATTTAATATATCACCAACCAAATTAAAATCTTGTTAACTTGTAATTAAGATGAGTGGTTTGATTATATTGCTAATTAAGATATATAATGCTGCGCGCGTGGAAGCTTTGAAATGGAGATAAAACAACAATCACTTAAATTTGGGGTGTTTTAGGCAAATAAATATGCAAAGACCATTATGCCTATTGATAATTGATTTTAGGTTAAATACCCATCTAAAAAAAATGCTGCATTTATTGTAAAAGGGGTAATGCTTACTTTGATATCATATTAAATTTTAGAAGAATATCTAATTTAAAATCAATTGATAATAAAAAAAATAATTCTAGTTATATTTAGGTATCCAGATATTTGGCATGAGATGTATTAGATATTTGATGTGAGATTTATTTTATCTTTAGAAATAGCCATTTGTCTAATTAAACCCAGAAGAAAAAAAAAAAATGAAGCTGGTGAAGGAATTTCTATTTTTTTTAATCAAGAAAAAAAATACAAAAGTTAATAGAACCAAGTTAAGCAATAAATTAATAAACGTAGGTGGTCTTAATATAAGAGATAAAACATTAACCCATTAGTCGTAATGGCAATTTGATATATAGTTGAAATCTATAAATCAAGTGAAATTAGTCAGTTTCATCCCTAAATATTACTTAGAAAATATTATAATGAATGCATCTTAAAAAAATTATGATGAAAACTTTTAACTCCACGTATTACAAGTTGTAATTGTGTCATGGATGTTTGGTTATAATTTTTAAAAATTAATAAATCAACATAATTACTCAATTCACAGTGTAGACACCGATTTTGTCCGGGTTTATTGTTTTATTTTTATAATAATAATAATAATATTTAACAAAAAAACAAAATAAACAAAACAAACAAAAAAACAAAACGGAAATAAGATAGAAGTCAAGGGGTTGGTACGGCGCCAAACTGCCCCGACCAACTCCGCGACCAACTCCCTGTCAGCCACCCAACCAACTCCCCGACCAACCCAACCAACCCCCTGACCAGCTCTCTCAGTCTACTTATAGCCACCCTATAGCCACCTAGATTCCCCTAAATAGAAACCCTTTAAAATCCCCAACCATCTTCCTCATTAAGGGGTCTCTGGGCTCTCTAACAGAAAAGAGGAAGCTTTCTAAGAATTTTCTTCAATTTCCCTAAAAAAAAATCCCCTTCAACCTCTGCGAAACCTCCCTCAAAACACTCCCAAACACCCAAAATACCCAAACAAAAACCACACCAACCGAAAAAAAAAAAACAAGAAAAAAAACAGAAACGAAAAAACAAACACAGTCCTCCCCACAGGGAGGAACCTCAGCGCCAAGCTCTCTGAAAAAGCAAAGAAATCATCAGTTTCGCCATAAAAAAAAAAAGGAGAAGGAAAAGAAACCGAAAGCTTCAAGCCTCGATCTACGTTGATCGGGGCTGTTTCTGGTAAAACTGACTTCGGATTTGGAAAGATCGCGTCGAAAGTAGCTTCCTGATCATTTTTTGAAATTTTCGGTCACCGACGACACCGCCAACGACGACCCAAGAGGCGGCCGGCACGGTGGTCCAATGACCGAACGGCGACCGGCCGAACCCCTCCCCCAGAACCCCCTCTCTCTCTCTCATTTTTTTTCTGGAAACAGAACCAAATGAACAAAAAAAAATTTTTCAAGTTATTTATAGAAAACATTAAAAGCAAAACGACGTCGTTTTGGGCATATGGCCAAAACGACGCCGTTTCAACCAGGGAGGATCCACGCGCCCGTGACCTGACCCGGGATCCGTACGACGACCCGCTGACCCGTTTCCTCCAACAGCTCTACCGGTTCAATCAAACCGGCCCGAACCGTCGATCCGACAGTCGAATCGGTCGGATCGCCAGAACCGTAGATCTAACCGTCGAACGTGTCAAACCGCCCGGATCAGCGTTGATCGGACCGTTGATCGGTCCGGTTCAGGTAAAAAAAATTTTTTTTTTGAATTTTTGAATTTTTTATATTATTATTTTTGTTATATTTATGCATGATAAATTTATTAGAATAAATATTTAATTATTTTAATAATAATAAAATTGAAAACAAATAATAATTAAAATATATTAAAATGCTCAAAAAAATAATTTTTATTATTTTCCCTGCCTAGATGTTGGAGGGAATAAAAATATTTTTTTTAAAAAAAATAATTCCGCCTAGATGTTGGGGAATTATTATTAATAAATTTTCATAAAAAAATAAATATAAAAAATTTTTTAAATTAATTTTCAAAAATCTCTAAAATCAAACTTGCTTCGAAAATTTGCCTAGATGTTGGGGATTTTTAGAGATGTTCGTATTTTCTTAAAAATGAAACCTTAAACACTAATTCTTAATTTTCAAAATCATAGGTTTCTAAAACTCATAAAAATCCAAAATCCCTTAAATCCAAACCCCATAAAATTCAAAATCCCAAAATCCTCGAAAATCAAAGTCCTAAAAAATCTTAATTACACGAATGAAAATTCTATTTGAAGTAATTTGTTCTCGAATACCGCATAGATGATGGGGTATTTAGGAAATTTTACTTCGTGAAGTCTTTTCACACGATTTCTTAAATCGCATTAATGATAAGATCAATAAATAAAAAAAAGGATAATGGTAAATTGAGATCTTAAATATAAACAGTCGCACCTAAGCTCTGCCTAGATGTTGGAGAGTCGGGGTGGTCTCATTATATTTAAGAATCCAACTCTTAAATTACATCTCATTTTACATGACATTCATTAACGTGATATACGTTAGCATGTTATTATCAGTATTTACTTGTACTATTCTGTCTTTAATTTTTTTATTTACTACTTAGTGATAAAATATCTTATAATAAAAAAAATAATACTAAAAAAAAATCTTTTTGTGATATTACAAAATAAAATAAAAATAACATTCCAAAAAATAATTTTTGGTACTCTTCTAGATGTTGGAGAGTCACCAACAATTTTTTATAAAGAGCGTTATTTCATTTTAAGGATTGTTGTGTTAAATCTTAAGCGAAAAGAGTTATTTCAAATTCTGCCTAGATGTTGAAGAATTTCAGGATAATTCTTTAACTTAAAGATTTTCTCAATATTCTTAAATAAAAATTTTAGCAAAAATATTTTTAAATGAAGGAAATTAATGTTAAATTTCAAATTAAAACCATTTTTATCCAACGTCGAAAATAGCGCATAATTAAATGGTACCAATTTATGGGCGTTGTGGGGTGCTAATCCTTCCCCACGCGTAACCGACTCCCGGATCCAACCTGATTTTTCGCATACCAAAATTTATCTTTTTGATAAGACTTTAAACTCGTTTTTATAGTTTTATTAAAAAGATAAACTTTTGGGTGATCAATCACACCCTAACAAAGATTGGTGGTGACTCACTCTTTTTATTTATTTTTTTTCGATTTTAAAACATCTCATTTTTTACATCTGACGGTCTCAAAACCGTTACGACACACAATATCAATTATATACTTCATTTATAAAATTTAAAATTTTCATTAATAATAATAATAATAATAATAATAATAATAATAATAATAATAATCTATAAGAATATATAAAAGTAGTCTCCTCTTTTATTTTATATGACAACTCATCAATGTAAAAAAATATGATTGGAAAGATATTTTGAGAAAATATAAAAGGTAGAAGCTTTCAGAGATTTGTTGAAAAAAAAAAAAAAAGCAACTTAGGTCCTGGAAGATAGATGTACCAAGCTTCTCCATTTTCTCTGTAGGATTATTGAAGAGGAAAAAAGGGAAAAATGTAAAAAAATATGATTGGAAAGATATTTTGAGAAAATATAAAAGGTAGAAGCTTTCAGAGATTTGTTGAAAAAAAAAAAAAGCAACTTAGGGCTTGGAAGATAGATGTACCAAGCTTCTCCATTTCTTTTCTCCATTTTTTCCGTAGGATTATTGAAGAGGAAAAAAGGGAAAAAATGTACCAAGAGAAATATTGAAGAGTTGTACTCAAAATGGCCTTAAAGCTTCTTTGTCAAAGCCTAACCAAAACCAAAACAACCACCCTTATCTGTCGTTTCTCCGCCGTGATTGTCGTGGCTTCCCCACCAAAGTATGACGACCCAATAGGAATTACCATGAAAGGCATGAAAATTGCAGGCCATCCACTTTACCTCGACAAGCAAGTGACATCCTTTGTGGACCCTAGGATTTTGGATTCGATGCTTCAATTTTACGTCTCCTGTTATGGCATCCCTCACTCCTGTACTCACCTTTGCGGTTGGGAATTGGAAACACACGCTGAAACCACCCGCTCACAAGTAGTCGCACTTATTGGAGCTTCCTCGAAAGAAATCGTTTTTACTTCTGGTGCCATGAAATCGAACATCTCAATCAAATGCATCATGCATTTCTACAAAGACAAAAAGTGCCATGTCATCACGACACAAACGAAGCACAAATGCATTTTAGATTCTTGCCCACATCTTCAACAGGAAGGTTTTGAGGTAAATTATTTGTCTGTTAGGTGAAAAAGGTTTGTCTTTTCTTGGAAAGCTTATTTTTTGGGTTTTTTTTTTTAAAAATTTTTCAATTAAAGGTTTTTCATTTTTGGTAGTTAACTTTTTTTATTTGTTTGATTTAAATTGAAATGTTTATGTATTTCTTTTTAAATGCATTGATTTGGTCCTTTATTTTTAAATTTGTCAAATTTTTTATTTGCACTTTTTTCTTGTTTGGTTTCCTCAAAATGTTAGTTATATTAACGGAATTAATGCTATATTAAAAGTTTGTTTAAATTTCTTGTTAATTTTTTGGTTTTTGTTACATGCATGTAGACCTCTATACTTTAAAAAAAAAAAAAAAAAAAAAAAAACTCCATGCCTTGATATTTGGTCAATTGAAAAAAATGAGATTTACAAAAAAAAATGGTAATTTTACATTGAGTTGTTGAAAATTAATAAAAGATTTACATCTCATGTACTTTAATTCCCCATGCCGTTTCATAATTTTGAAGCATTTCAAAAATCTCTTCTAAATGCATTTATTAAAAGACATGATAATGTTTAATTGTCTAAGCCCCCATTAAGTTTTATAGAAGAAAAAAATTTTCATATACTTAATTTTGATATATGAGTTGTCTAGTTTACAACTGCATACTTTTGTACAACTTCAGTTATATTTACAACTACTTAATTTCTTCTTTCAAAAGCTTTGTGGATAGGTATATATATAATGATAGTGCAAATGACAATGAATTTTTAACAAAATCTTTTAATTGAGTTCATAGTTTTGTTTAACAAAATCTTCTAATTAAATTCATAACAACTGACAATGAATATTTAACAAAATCTTCCAATAATTAAGTTGAACCTTCAGTGGTTTGATGTCTACAGCTCTATTGATATTAAAGAAAATTGGTATAGTCATGAGATGTTACCTTTCATACCAAAGGAAAAATGGAGGAAATGATTTCAAGTTCTTGCTTTATACTATCCATTTTACCTGTTTATTTTTCATCTAACTATTCAAGGAAGCTATATTTCTCAAGTGGATGCCTCTTGAAAATGATCTTTAACTTTTGGTATGATACTTCAACATTTTTAAATGACCTAAATATGTCTATGATGAAAATTTTACTCATTGAAATTCAGTGGATTACATTGATTAGAATACATGCCATGATTATCGTAAATGATGATATTGCTTTTCCTGTTTTGAGGAAATTTTGTAAAGTGTATACTCCATGAAAAGCCTTTCATGCTCTTCAATTTTCATTTGGCTTGAGTACTACTCTAGGATTCTCTCTTGATGTATTGCAGTTGAATGTAGTCTTAGATTGCTTTTAATAATGTTTCTTAATTTTTAGTGTTGGCCACCTACAAACTTAAAAATAAGATGGTAGATGCTACAAGCTTTTGTAAGTGAACAAAGTCTTACTATATCCTGATAAAAAAAAAAAAAGGCAAACCAAATATGTATCTAACATTTGTATTTATGTATGATTAAAAATTTTTTTGGTTCAATCAAGTGAATGATTTTCTAAAAAATTGCACATAGGAGGAGCTGTTTTAGAATATTCATAATGACCATAATTATATACCTAACAAATGTTACATCCAAACACCATTCAAAGTAAGCATCTAAATTGCTCTTTAGTAGGTAATATGTATTAGATTTTTAGATTATAATTTGTTTTCCTCTCCTTTTCTTTTACTTTTTGGCATTTCATTCAAATGTGGTTATTGCCTTCTATTTAATGAAGAGGCCAATAAGCGATTTGCTAAGATTAACAATCATAAAATATCTCATTCTTTATTAATTTTTTCTTTCATGAAAAAATATTTTGGGATGGAATTAATTAGTTTTTTTCTTCAATGATTAATTTATTTGATGAATGATTAGCATATGGGTATTGCCGAATAGCTAATAAAAGGGAATATATGACAGGCATAGAAAAGAGAGCCTGAAGCAGCATGTTGTCAGTAGAGGCAAAAGAGGAATGAAGGTTAATATTCAGGACATTTTCAACATGTAAGATTGTTGAAAATTGACTTCTTTTATTAATACTGCATCACATTTAATTATCTTAATGGTAATACGGTAGTAATTGAAATGCTATGGTAAGTTAAGTGTTGGCATTGTACCCATATATAGTTAAGGTTAAAACATTTTCTTTATTGGTGAATATGTATGAAATCATCAATAAAATGTTAGTTATTGATTATATTTGGGATAACATACACTAATAATCAGTTTAACCTTTAAGAATTGTCTTTCTAATTCTACATTTTCTTAGTTTAAATGTGGCTACCAATTATATTGAAGGAATTGTTCACTTTTAGTTATGTTATATTGAATTCAACCACCTACTATTACTGATAGGATGGAGCTTTTTTTCAGGTTTATTGATAGAGGCCAAGTCGAAGAGAAAAAGAGAATTGTGAAGGGTGACGATGTAATTGTTGAATTGGATGCAACACTGGAAGATTTGTACATGACAGGTACTCTTAAAGTGAAAAATTAGTTTCTATTTGTTTAAATATAGACTAAAGAATTTTTCATTAGTCTTTTTGCAATAATTGGTGTTTTAAACTAATATATCTTTTTTTTTCCTTAAGTTATTAGGTATTTTTCTCTTTGAGTGTTGAGTTATAAATAGAGTTATTTTATTTTTTTATGATCCAATGATAGGTAAAGTTTTTATATTATGAATATTATATTTAAACAATATTTACTTCATAGTTTAAATAATATCTATTTTATTATTAAGCAGTTCGCGTTATAACGTTGGCTTGCAAACTAGTAATAATAATAATAATGTTTAAACAAAAATAATTGTACAATTAAAATTTTCAAAAGAAATAACACAAACAGTAAGAGCTACAAACAAGAAAGCGTCATAGAATTTTTTTTTAAACGGATTTTTCTCATGAGTGATCTCAAAATAGTCTTTAAGATATTTTTTTAAAAACTCTTTGATATTATTATATTGATCAATATCTATGCTTAATATCTATTGATGGTCTTTCAGCTTAAGGAGATGAGGTCAGGTTAAAGGGAAGACAACCTAAATCTATAATCAAATAACACAGTAAAAAACATTGGAGTTATTGTTTTAAGACATACTCCAACGTTCAAGTCAGTGATGTGCTTGAGATAAAGATAATGAAGAAAGAAGGAAGAAGATGAAGTATGTGTGAAAAATTTTAGAGGAGGGAAAGCTTAGGTGTAAAGTTTGAGAGTGTCCTATGTATTTGGGCTTACTCACTACCTTATGTATGGGATAATGGACGATAATAAAACCATGACAATTGACAGTTGATGAGATTTACATGTGGGTAACTACGAGTCATATTTAATAATCTCAAGCAGATGTGGGCTGCATTTAATGGTCTCAAGTAAGTTGAAAGCCAAATGGTTATTTCTAAAATGATTCCGATGATGAGACATTATTGGAATGTTGGATGAGTTCTTTCTTTGGTAAAAAATGAGTTGTTTCCTTAAAGGTAAATGATATGATGATTCGAACGTATCTATTTAGATGGCTTAAGGATGATTAAGCAATTAGGTGTAATAATATTGAAAGTCTTCAAATTTACTATCAATTATTGCATTCAATATAGAAATATTACTATAAATAGTATATTAACTAAGGATAACAACAGGTCAAGTCGAGTTAGATTTTTGCTCACCATGAACTCGACCTGACTTTACACCCGTAAAATTTGAAACCAACCCGATTCGATTTTTTAAAAATATTTTATACCTGAATCCAGCTTGACCTGATATTGCATAAAATCGTATCTTATCTGATTTGATTCGAAATTAATAAAATATTATTTTTAAATATAAAATATTATCTTTTAATATAAATATAAATTTAAATAAATATAAAAATATATATAATTAAAAATAAATTTTTATAAATATATATCAGATTGCATCGGAACGAATTTGCCTAAAATCCGACTCTAAAATTTTTTTATTGTTACCAATCCAACCCAAAATCCGATTTAAAAAAAATAAACCCTAAACAGTAAGATCAAATTAGGTTAAAATCCACTAATTACGGGTGAGTTTGCCATCCTTAATATTAACTATCTTTAAAGAATGGCCCAGGGGAACTCGTTTGAAAATTTTTTTTCTAAATCAAAGTTTTATTTTTGGCATGATTTTTAATCAAAGTTTAATGACGTTAGACATTTTTCCTACCTTTGGGCCTTTTGATGTTAAAAAAAGGAAGCACAAAAACATGGCCCAAGATAAGGCTTAAATCCATGTCATATTTCTTAAAAAACGCTTATATATCGAATTTACCGTCTATAAACTTCCGCCACTCGATCTATAAGGTCCCCAAATCTTAGCCCTAATTAGGTTTTGCAGTCACCTTTGTCAGAACCAAAAGGACTAAGCTTTAGTTCCAAATCGGAGAAAATGGTGAAGGGACGCCAAGGAGAGCAAGTCAGGTCCCCTTTGATCTCTTCATTTCATCTTTTAAAATGCTAACCTTTTCCAATTTCCCACTTTAACGTATGTAATTTAGTTTTTAGATTTAACTTACTCTTTTCCTTTTTTTTTTCTTTTTTTTTTATTGAAGACTCTATGTAAGAGGAACCATCTTGGGTTACAAGAGGTAATAGAACTGTAACCTATATTTACTTTTTTTTTATTTTTATTTTGTTGGTTCTAAAATATTCTTTTTTTTGGGGGGGGGGGGGTGGAAGTGGCGAAATTTTTTGATGGAAAATGAATATTTAGTTAAATGTATGAGTTAAGTTAGCTGATTTAATGTGTTAAGAAAAGAAACGAAAATTGAAGATTTCATTTTTTGTTTAATTGTTAGGAAAGTGAGTAAAGGAATCAAGAATTAAGTTGCATTTTTTTTTTTTTGCAGAAGTTGGGTTTTTATTGGCTATAGGGGCAGGCTAGTAACTTAAATTTGTTAACTGAAATTAGTGTTTGGGTAACAAAGGGTGTGGTTGAATTTCTAGATTCTGTTTTAGGGGACAGAAAGTAATTACTTTTCTAAACTAAAATTAAGGTTTATGGTTATCATGTGTTTATTGAATTCTTGAACTGAGTTGAAGAACTGGAAATTGATTTTGGAGGTTTTTTTATTTTTTTGGATTGGTGCTTATGATTTGTCTGGTGATGGGTGTTAGGTCAAAATCGAACCAGTATGCAAACACTTCATTGATCCAGATTGAGGGAGTTAACACCAAGGAGGAAGTAGCTTGGTATGCTGGCAAGCGCATGGCTTATATTTACAAGGCTAAGGTGAAGAGGAATGGCTCACACTATCGCTGCATTTGGGGAAAGGTTGCTAGACCTCATGGTAACAGTGGGGTTGTTCGTGCTAAGTTCAAGTCTAACCTTCCCCCCAAATCTATGGTAAGTGCATTATATTGTTGTTATTTAATGGGTTTCTTTACATTGTGCTTTTGATCTTACATGTATCTTTTGGTTCCTTTGCAGGGAGATAGAGTCAGAATCTTCATGTACCCCAGCAATATATGAGGTAATCTTGACTTCCCATTTTATGATCTTTGTTAGTTGTTTGTGGGTTCATCAGCTTGCTGGTTATTTTTTCATTGATCCAATTTATCTGTTTGTATAAGAGGAATCTTCATTCTATTTAATGATGTAACTTTCTGTTTGAAGGTTAGCTGCTTGATGGATAAGTTAATTTTTGCATATTATTGCCTGCTTTAGACATTGTTAGGTCCTTTTTGTGTCTTAATGACAGTTTTAGTTTTCTGTGTGTCAAGCCGTGTGAACCCTCACAGCAAATTTATAATGACAACATCTGTAATGGTTCATATACTCTCGTTGCATCAACTCCATGCTATTTGTGATTATTCATTATGAGACTCCTATGTTAATTGTATGGCATAATTCAGCCCAAGTAATTTTTAAGCTGTTGTAGCTCTCTGTTGTTTGTGTGTCTTTGCAATCTTGATTGCTGCTGTGGTTGACACTTTACACATGACACAATCTGTCATCTTTTAGCGTAGTCCTTTATTTAGATTTTTGCTTGAGGCCAAAACTTTTGTTTGCCTCGTTTATATAGTGATATTAAGCTTTCGTTTTAAAATGAATCTAGCTTGTGAAAACATTACAATAACTATTTATGAATATTTTCCTGTAGACTTGGAACAATTTGTCCTAGAGCTCTACCTTTATAGCGCCTAATGCTTGTGTACTCTCTCCTAATTTAATTTTGTGCTTTTCTTGTTTCCTTGTACTTGCAGTTGTCTAGATGCCCGATGGAATTCAATTGATGAGTCAAGTGACTCTGCCTTTTCACTTTGTTTTTATGTACTTAGTCAAGAAGATGTTGTGTGTTTTGGAGCGGTCATTTTGTTTCTTTTGTTTACATATTCCTACCAAGGATTTTTCCACCTATTTGTTCCTTGACTTTGAAGTTTTGGGTAATCAATCATTTATGGAATTGAATTGCCAGGTTTTGATCTACTGCAGCAGGTATCATTTTCTACTAACTTTATTCATTGCCTAAGATTTTGTTCAAGTTCCGGGTTAAAGACTGTTGAGCCCCTCGGTTCCTAGTGTTCTTTTTTTGATTAAATGTGGTAGATGAGTTGTGCTTGTAAAAGTGGTGGGTTCTGCTCTCTAATAAAGCTGAAGAAGGGACATTGGTGATCAGATTGCAGAAAGCTTGTAATTTGATCACCCGAGAGACAAGTTGTGGTTTTGTAGAAGATCAACGAGTCAAAGTGTGCTAACAGGCTTAGAAAGGTGGAGCACGAATTTCTTACCATAAATAAACGAAAAATCAATCGGATTAACTATGGTACGGAAGCTTTGGGTCTAAGTATGTCTGTTGTTCGCTAATACGAGAAAATTGGCATGGCAGCTGATAAAAGGGACTAAGCATGTTCTTTCGTTCGGGTTTCCTTGTATCAAAAATAATAATAATTTAGACCCAGTTGGTATGGCAGCTGATAGAGGGACCAAAGTATGTTCTTTTTTTTCCCGTTTCAGTGTATTAAAAATAATAATTATTAGAATTAGACTCAGGGTTTTTTTTTTTTAATTTTATAAAATTGTTTTAAAATAAAAAATGAAATAAAATTTTTATATTAAATTTTAATAGATGACAATATATAGAGAAAGGATAAATTTTATATGAGGTTTTTTAAGTGGAGTTTATGAAGTTTATTTTTAAAAATAATTTAATAAAATTTTTAATAGTTTATGAAGTTTATTTTTAAAAATAATTTAATAAAATTTTTAATAAAAAATTTAAAGTAATAGATTGGTAAGATTTGATGTGAAAATTAATAATATGTAAAAAAATTATAAAAGATGTTTTTTTATAATTTTAATTTGATCAATATTTATTTAAAGATAAAAATTTTTGTCAATATTTTTATTAAAAATATTTTTTAAAAAATATTAAATTTTTTTAAATTTTACACAATTTATGTAACGAAATATTTTAATTTATCAATTTGATTTTTGATTTTAATTTTGATTTAATTATTTTTAGTAAAAAATTGTACGAATTTTACTTAAAGAATTTTATCTAGCTTTTCCTTATAGATAAATATAAATGTATTTATTTTTAATATAAATTATAACTTATTTATATATATAAATATAGTTTTTTTTTATTAATTAAGGTTTTAAATAATATATTTATTAATATAATACATATATATATCTATAAATTAAATAAATAATTAAATATATTCTTTTATCTATTTCGAGAAGGGTTGGGCTGAGTACTCTAAATTCAATATCAACTTGACTCAAACTATTTAAAAAGGTGAAATTTAATATAATCTTTATTTAACAAAATGCATTGAATATAAGTTATTTATCATCTTACATTTATTAATTTTTTTCTACAAAATTTATCTAGTAAATAAAATTTTACAATGAAAATGACAAAAAAAGAAACTAGATGGGATGACACGTGAGTTTATTAAATCAATGTATTAAATAATATTTTTTTTATAATATATATAAATATAAAATTAAATTAATAAATAAATAAAATATATTTTTATATATACTAAAATCGATACATAACATCCAAACTTTACTCTTACTTGAATTTAATTTTTAAAAAATCAACTTAAATTATTCAGAATTAAAATAAAGTGCACCAATTGGATTATAATGAATTAAAATCCATCGAATGCTGCTTAATTTATTATCTTTATCTCAATTGATTTTTTTATTACAAAAATTATCTAATAAAAAAAGAAAAAATTATCTTTAAAAATCGTAAAAAATAAAAAATAAAATAAAAGTATGAATGATACATGGACATCCGAGATGAAACAAAATATTTTAAATCTATCTTAAACCCAACTCTATTTGAAAAAAAAAAAATTCATTTTAATTTCGATTGTGTTTTAAAGAACACATTTATGTTGGATCATTACGAATCAAAATCAATCATATACAAATTATTTTATCATCTTTATTTTGATGATTTTTCTTATAAAATTTATCTAGTAAAAAAAATAAAAAATAAAAAATATCAGGCCACATGGATTTTTTTTTTTTTTTGGTTCTCTACAAAATTAAGTACATAGATAGTTAAGATTTTAAGTTTGGAGAAGATCTTACGTCTAAATTTTATTGTGCACTATTACAAACCATTAGTTTATGTTTATCTGTCGAAAAAAAAGTACATTTGCAAACGTGTAGTTGACAAATAACTTGGGTCGGCATCGGGCAAATTTCAAATTAGACAAAAAAAAAAAAAAAAGGATTGTACAAGATTTGGGTGCCAACGTCAATAATTTTTCAGTCTAATCAGAAAATAAAAAGTTAAAGGTTGTTCTAACAAGAAAAAATTCTTAAATTATAATGTTTTAAAATATTTACTCCTTTAATATGATAGTTAATTGTGAATAATGTGGTATATAAGTTTTTTTATTTATCAGCTAAAGATATTCTTTTAGTCTAAAAAAAAATGATTTTAGGTATTGTGACTAGCATAATTGAAAAGACTAGGACAAAATGAAAGAACAGAAAGGAATGTCGTGGTTTCCCAAATCACCAACCATGTTTGCAATGTTTGGTTAAATATGAATGAATACACACACATAAAATCAAAGGAACCCTACTGTTAGTTATAATGCCTTGCGGGAATAAAGAATGAACCAACTAATATAAGAGATTAAAAGTATAACAGTTAGTTTGTCACTACAGTTCTCTATTAAAAGAGCAGATTTTAAACCGTAATTTGATTGATATATGTAATAATTATTTTTTTTTTTTAAAAAAAATATATATATATTTAACATATTTGACTTTTAAATCTTGACATTAAACAATATACATATTGTCCATTTTAATATTTGTTTTCATATAGTCAGTAAGCAATGTAGTAAATCTAACAATAAAAGCATTTTAGATTTTTGGAGCTAAGAATCAAATTGACAAGCACCTGATCCCAATCCTTTTTGGTTCAGTGCCAATTTAATTTGTGTTCCAGCTGCTTTAATTATTGTAACATTTAAAGCAGGAAAAACACTCCACATGTTTGAAAATATTTTATGAAGATTGGCGTTTTAGCTCATTTTATAGCCGGTTTTGAGTTTTGATAGACATTTATTAGATGATAATCCCAATTATTTTTTAATGTGCAATTAGTTTTAAACCCATGCTATGTAGGAGCAAACAACTTTATTATATATATTATTTATAAAAAAATTAACATATTTTATTTAAAAAACTATATTTTTTATAAAAAAAAATTATATTTTAATGATATTTTCTTGTTAGAAATCTAATTTTAATAATATGAGTAGTAAATATATACATAATGATATTCTAAAAAAACTTAAACCTATGATATATAAATTGAGACTATTAATTTGGTTCATGAATTAATTGGTTATCACTCATCAAACAGATTAAGATTATTAATCATCGAACAAATTATGAGAAAATATTTTTTAATCCTCGACATATATTTTCAAACTTTTATTTCAGATCATTTGTGTAAAATTTTCCTTAATCATTTAACTTAAAACTTTTTTCTTGAAGAATACATTAGTAACTCCCACCTAGCAGAGATAGTTTAATCAATAGGCATATGCCTTCCCAAAAAGAGGTCACAAATTTGAATTCAAACTAATCATAAGAAATAGTAATCAAAATAATACAAGAACAAATATAAAGTGATAAAAACTTTAATAGTAATTGACTTTTATTAATTTTTGTGTATCTAATCCATCTGTATACAACATTACAAAAAAAAAAAAAAAAAAGAAACCTAAGCTACTTCATGGCAAAAAAAGTATCATGAATTTGAAATTTTTTTTTTTTTGGTAATGATGCAATCTATTTCTTAAATATCCAAAAAAATTTCACTTATATAGATAGGTCTTAAAAGTAATTATAGAAAGATTTTTAGCTTTTGAACGATTAATTGATTAAAATAAAATTAAGAATCAAATTAAGAGTAATTTATACTTGATAATTAGAATAGACAAATATAATGTATATTTAATGTATTTGAGAGAAATGAAAAGAAAAAGATTTTGAAATTAATGTAATAATGATAAATGAAATTAATTTGATTTGACATACCAAATTTAATTGTAATTGATTTGATCATTAATTAATCATTTTAAAATCAAAATATTAAAACTATATACATAGCTTAAAAGATGGAGCCTAATAGCTTATATTTTTAAAAAGTTATATTTTTTTCAATAAATGTAATTCGAGAGTTGAGTAATATAAAAAAAAAAATTTGAGCAACAGAAACCAAGAATGATTCAAAGTGAAAATTGAAGTGGAAATTAAATAATCATAAAAAGATATAAAATTAGTGAACAGTGATTAAAATTATGTTACTTGTCAAAATAAAAAATTTAGAGTTATATATACAAAAGGTTTGTTGTAGGTTAATTAATAAGTAACTTTAGAATGATGAAATTGAATATTGAAATAATAAATATTGTAAGTGAATGGTTATCAAATAATAGCCATTTGGAAATTGAGAATGAAATAATATAATTCATTAACTTAATAATGAAAAATTAATTAAATATTTTTGTTTTCTACATTTACACATGGGTTACATCAATTATATGGTTGGATATCATATTTAATTAAACATGATTATATCAAATCACTGGTATGGGACTCAACTCCTATATCACATACATATCTAAAAGGTAAGTTAAATGAAACTTTGAAAGGAAATAAATATAATCAATGTATTGAAATATTTTAAAATTTATATGAAATCAAATAAAACTAGTTAAATGTAAGATACATCATGATTATTTAAGATCATCCATACATCAAAATAACAAACCAACCACATTCAATTTTTTCCTTTTTTACCAAAGGCTTTGACTTTTATATATTTATATAAGATTTTTGTAAAATATTTGTTAAGATAACATTTTTTTTAAAGAGTGGGCTAGTTTTCCCAATCATATTCATTTTTTAGCTTAATA